CCAATGCACACCATTCGGTGTAGTTTGCTTAGTTTTGCGCTGGCAGTTCTTTGTGTCGCTTTTGTCCACCATGCCAAGGATGCATAGGTGACTATCGGCTTCACAACTGTGTTGAATGACCAGTAAGTCATTTTGGGGGAGAGTCCCCATGTCTTCCCGTAAAGTCGCTTGCATGCGAAGAAGGCTCTCATTGCCTTGTTTACGGTTGCATCCAAATGTACATTCCAGGTGAGTGTCTTATCTAGCCACACCCCCAGGTATTTTGCTTCATTTGAGAGCCCTATTCTAGTGCCGCCCAGAGTCAATTCTGTCATGGATAACTTTTTCCTCCGGGTAAACGGAACCAGAATAGATTTAGTAGGATTAATGGATAATCCTTTGGTGTCACACCATCTTTGCGTAATGCGCAGGGCTTGTTGCATGCGGTTGGAGATCGTTTCGTCATGCAGCCCTGTTACACAAATTACCAGATCGTCTGCATATCCTTGTGTTTCAAAGCCATGGTCGTTCAGTAGGAACAGGAGTTCGTCTATAACCATAGTCCACAGAAGAGGAGAGAGTACACCCCCTTGAGGGCAACCTCTTGTGGCTGTAATCGATTCTTTCGTGCCTCCCAGCTCCATCCTGATCTTCCTTGTTTTTAGCATAGAAAGCACCCAATTTATTATGATGGGGCTCACTCCCTTGCATATCAGGGCATCTCTTATTGCCCTGTATGACGTGTTGTCAAAAGCCCCTGAAATGTCAATGAAGGCACAAAGGGCTATGTTCTTAGACTCCAGAGCCTTTTCGATTTTCGATGTAAGGCTGTGAATGGCAGTCTCAGTGGACTTGCCTGGTTGATAGGCAAATTGGTTCTTATTCAGTGGTCGTTCCGCTAGGTTGACTTCTCTGATATGTTGATCCAAGATTTTTTCCATGCCTTTTAGGAGAAAGGAGCTGAGGCTAATTGGTCTGTAGGATGAAGGCATTTGCTCCGGTTTACCTGCCTTCGGTAAAAATACCACCTTAGCCATCCATCTACTGGGAATGTAACCCAGTAGGAGCGACGCTCTGTATAGTCTGGAGAGGACTGGGGCTATGTAGTTACTTCCTTTTTGGAGTTGACAAGGATAGACCCCATCTAGTCCTGGTGATTTGTATGGGCTGAAGGTAGATACCGCCCATTGCACTCTTTCTACCGTGGTAAGTTTAGTTGCAAGGCTTTGCTCTCTACCAGAAGTGCGTGCTGGGACACCCAATTCCGGTAGATAATAGCCCGCTTTGCAGCCCGGGAAGTGAGTGTCTAGCAGAAGTCTGCAAGTCTCTCCCGGATGCTGAGTATAACTACCATCTGGTTTCTTTAGAGTGCCGATCGTATTTTTGTGTTCCCTATTTAGAGCTTTTTGGAGGCGTACTGCCTCTGGGAGGCTCTTTATTTCCTTGCAGTGGTTTCGCCAGCTAGCTCTTTTGGATTTCCGCAATTCTTTGTTGTAGGAAGTTAGTGCAAGTTTGTACGGATTCCAATCACCCGTATTCTTTGCTCTATTGAATAGTTTTCTGGCTTGGCATCTCATTTGCTCAAGCTTCTTGCTCCACCAAGGCACATCACGTTTGGATTTTACCTTTCCTTGGGGACAGCTACTATTGAAAGCTATTCCAATGTCTGAATGAAGCTGTTCAGCTTCAGTCTCAAGCTCGTGCGCAGTCGTAATTTGACCACCATGGCTGTTTCCACCTTCTTCCATGATAAAGCGAAAGAATTCCCAGTTCGTTTTTCTGGGATTTCTAAAAACTAGTTCATGCTCAGGAAAGTGGCCAATGTCGAATTCTATGTGCATATGGTCCGACATTGATACCTCCCCTGAGACGCGCCAGTTTGTGACAGACGCTGCCATGTTCTGACTACTTAGAGTAAGATCTAAGACTTCCCCTCTAATAGCGTTCCTGAACGTTGGTTCATTGCCATGGTTTATAATACTTATATTATAACTACTGATAAACTCAAGGAGGTACTCACCCCTTTTGTTGGTGTCGTTGCTCCCCCAGACAGTGCTATGGGCATTTGCATCACAGCAGAGGATCCAGGGTATACCACTCTGCCGGCAGTGATCAGTAAGCGCCTTTACCTCAGGTGTCGGGGCTATCTCCTCCTCACCCGGGAAGTACGCGGAGGCAAGTACTGCCTCCTGCACCCCCCTAGGAGTCGGAATTTTGGCCCATACCGCAACGAGATCTGCCGTAATGAACTGTGAAAGAGGGAGAAACGTTAGTAAACATTGATCAGTTTGAATAATTCAATACGTTGCGATAACTCAATAAGCATGGATAAATTTCGATAATTATAAACTTCGATGATTCGATAAATTCAGTAACCTTTATGGCTGATTTTATTTCAATTCCTATCTTTTAACCTAATTCTTATGTATTTCTCATTGTCTAAATTTTCGCCTTTATCTCAATTTTCGTCTTTATCTTCACTTTTGCCTTTTTTTGTCTTCATCGTTATCACTTGTTTCTTCATCTTCATATTTATCTTTATTTCAAAGTTGAATTTCAAACACGATGTAAAACAAAATGCGAAACAGCTTAAATTGAACAGGTTGCAAAAACAACCATACACAAATATGGAAATTTTTAAACGACGATTTTCAACCAATTTCGAAACTATAAAAACTCTCCTCATCTACAGTGTTTAGGCCTTTAGCCTAAATATTACTTATTTACGCACCCCCCTAATGCCAGCATATGTACGTGCATAAGTTTCTGTGTAAACATATAATATATATTATATGTTTATGTGCATACACAGATACATGCATGCGCACATGGGGTAGTATGCGCGGGTAATTTTTATATCCCGCCGGATAATGAACTCTCGTCAAGTTTCCCCTTAACGTCAGTTATTGTCCGGCGGTCCGATTTAAGGTCCCGTAAACTTTTTCTAATCACTTCGGTTCAGAAGATCAGCGCGAGCACATCAGCTACCAAGCCACTCCCGTCCAAAGGTATTCAAATATTGTATTATTCCACATTTATATATATATATCTATACTGAAATAAATCGACTCTTGATTGAATTCCCCATTAACATCAAAATATCTTGGTTCTATTTATTTCTTTCTATCATATTTGCACCGGAGCGTAATTCCCAATCACCCCCGTCTAATCATTTGGTCCTTCGAGCCGGTGTGGTAGCTCTATAAAAAGATTGCAGCGCGATATTAACAATTGCTTGTCATCCCTACAAAGTCATCAAATTGACATTTCAAATTGGGACGCTATTATTGTGTATTTTTGCTCTACTAAATTGCCTGACAGTACTTTGGCTCTATGGGAGCAAACCATAGACCACACAGGCGCCTTACCGAAGTGGGAAGATATGGACAAGTTCCTATCTAACAGGTTTCAAACCCTGGAAACCGTGGCAGGCTTAAAGGGTACAAAAGCGGTTAAAGCGCCAAAGCCGCAAAACACCAAAAACCCTTCAGAAGCCCATACCAAAAGACTTGGTGCATTCCAAGAAAGCGTGACCAAGTTCACTTGTACAATGTGCCAAACGAATGAGCACAAACTACGCCCCTGTTCCAAATTTTTGAAGCTTACGCCTGATGAGAGGTTTAATTTCTTAAAGAGCAACAACAGTTGCCTGAATTGTTTGAGTGCTGCACATACCGTGACAAGGTGCACAAGCCCCTTTAATTGCAGCACTTGCCACTCGCGACATCACTCGCTCCTACACATTCAGACAAATGTGCAAAAGGCAACACCGGCTCGCACGCCGACTGGACCTGTCAATGACAACGCATCATCCTCCCAACAGGCTCAAGCAAAGCGCAGCTTTAATAATTGAACTCATAACAATAAAAGCAAAAACGTTAAGTCTTGTTATGCTAACACGAATTCAGGTGTGCTCTTAGGAACAGCTCGCGTAAATATACGTCTCAATGGCACAGATTTTTCTGCTCGAGCACTTATTGATTCTGGTTCTGAGTGTTCGTTCATAACAGAACGACTCAAACGCAGAATCAACCTGCCAGCTAAGAGAATGCATGCCCAAGTCTCGGGCATTACGAATGCAACTCATGCGCAGGTTAAAGAGGCATGCAGCATAGAACTTCGATCCCCAGTTGATCCATTGTTCAGCCTGCACGCAACGGTGCTCGTCCTAACAAAACTAACTGGAAATCTACCATCCTGTCATATCAGCGCCATGACTATGCAGGCATTTCCAGGTCTTGTTCTAGCTGATAAACGGTTCTACGTTCATGAAGAAGTAGACCTCGTACTTGGCGGAGATATTTATCCCCAAATTATTTTATGCGGCCTGAAGAAAAATGTACTTAGTACACTTCTCGCCCAAGAAACCGTGTTCGGTTGGATATTAACCGGTTGCACAGATGCACCCAATCCAACCAACAATATAGTTTCGTATCACAGTGAAGTTGCCTTGGACAAACAACTTACTGCATTGTGGGAACTAGAAGACATATCAAAAACCAAAAGCTTGAACGAAGACGACAAATACTGTGATGAGCTTTATCGGAAGACAACTCGTAGACGAGAAGACGGAAAATACGTAGTCTCGCTACCATTTCGGCAGAAATTTCCCACAAACATCTGCCTAGGCCCTTCTCTTAAAAAAGCATGCTCTCAGTTCTTCCGGAATGAGACACGGCTTGCAAAGGATACCATCCTACAAAAAGAGTATAATAGGGTACTAGCTGAATATGAATCACTAGGACACATGTCCAGAATAAATGATAGTATTTCAGCAGACTCTTCCGATAACTACTTTTTGCCTCACCACGCTGTCATAAAGGCAGAAAGTACTTCCACCAAAGTTCGAGTCGTCTTTAATGCCTCAAGTCCAACGGCTAATGGCACAAGTCTGAACGATGTACTTCTCCCAGGTCCAGTTCTCCAAGCAGATCTTCCGATCCTTATACTCCGCTGGAGGTTATACAGATACGTTTTTAATAGTGACATCGAGAAGATGTACCGAAAAATTTGGGTGGATAGCAACCATACCAAATATCAGCGGATAGTTTTCCGTACAAACCCGAACGAACCTGTAGGTCTATACGAATTAAAGACTGTCACTTTCGGGATTAATTGTGCTCCTTACCTCGCGATAAGGACACTTCTACAACTGGCTGACGATGTAGAAAGCTCTTCCCCAATAGCATCTAACATACTACGGAAATGCATGTATGTGGATGACGTGCTAGCTGGAGGACATAGCATTGACTCTACCGTAAAAGCAAGAAATGAAATCTCTGAAGTACTACGGTCAGCCGGATTTCCGCTAAGGAAATGGACCTCAAACTGTGCGGAAATTCTAAAGGACATCCCAAAAACGGATTTACTCAGTGAAGACTTTTTGGCATTCGAAGACACCAGCACGGTTAAGGCTCTTGGCATAAGATGGAATGCCCATACGGATCTTTTCTATTTCATGGCAAGACCATTGGAGGACCGCGATACACTTAAAAAAAGTGCGATACTATCAGCTATCGCCAAGCTATTTGATCCTCTAGGATGGCTTGCTCCAATAGTCGTCGTGGCCAAAATACTCATGCAAAGGCTAGAAGGCATAGACTGGGATGAGACTGTGTCTTCTATAACTTTGGAACGCTGGCAGAATTTTACCAAACATTACCATGCAATAGACAATATTAGAATACCTCGATGGGTACAGTTCGCACCAGGAGATGACATCGAGATACATGGTTTCTGCGACGTATCGGAAAAAGCATATGCGGCTACTGCATACATGCACGTCAAAAGAGATGACAAAGTTTTGGTCAACCTTTTTTTGGCAAAAACCAAAGTAGCTCCTGTCAAAACAATATCGCTACCACGACTAGAGCTTTGCGGAGCCGTACTGCTCGCGGAAATCATAGAATCCGTAATCAAGAACCTCGACCTAGGGCAAGTTAAAACATATCTTTGGACAGATTCGACCATCGTACTCGCATGGATACGAAAGCCGCCTTGTTCTTGGTCAACTTTCGTCGCACACCGAATTACGAAAATAGTAGAAAAGGTCGGTAACAAGGACTGGTTACATGTAGACTCGGCTTCTAATCCAGCCGACTTGGCTAGCAGAGGATTGCCTGCGTCAGAGTTGGTGACCAATTTTTTGTGGTGGCAGGGACCTTCTTGGTTGCAAGAAGACAACTCTAAGTGGCCCGCTCAAGAAATTACCTATCACACAGAAGTTGAAGAAAAAAGAGCGCACGCTTATGCATCAACAAAAGAAAACAATATCGATATTCTTGACCGATTTTCAGATCTACCGAGAGCTTTGAGAGTGTTATCATATGTCATGAGATTCTACCGAAGAACTCACCCGAAAACAAAAGCTTCATTTCAGGAAACTTCTTGGTTAATTTCATCAGATGAAATTAAGACGACGACACATCTCTTGATAAAAATCGACCAGAAGAAACACTACGATGAAGAATACAGGAATTTAAAAACTAGAAAATCCATCGATGCAAAGAGTGAAATCCTTCCGCTTAATCCGTTCGTCGACAAGCACGGCATCATCAGGGCCGGAGGACTGTGGGAAGCAGGTGTAAAAAGCTTTAAAAGCCACTTTAAAAAGGTGGCATCCGCTCACAAATACACCTTTGAAGAGCTCAGTACGCTTTTGTGCCGGATTGAGGCGTGCCTCAATTCGCGACCACTGAGTCCCTCTTCAAATGAGCCAAATGAGCTGGAGCCGCTTACTCCCGGCCATTTTCTCACGGGTGGACATCTTATGGCTCCGCCAGAACCTGATGTGAATGAGAACCCTGCCTCCATCGTCAATCGATGGCAAAACTAAAAGCACTGCATCAGACGTTTTGCGGGCGATGGAAAGTGGAGTACTTAGCCGAACTACAAAAGCGAATTAAATGGAAGCACCCCAAGGAGAATATGAAAACAGGTGATCTTGTAGTTATCAGGGAAGACAATCTACCGCCAACTGAATGGAGGTTGGGGCGAGTTGTCAACTTACACCCCGGTACTGATGGCAGAGTGCGCGTAGTGGACATCCTGACGGAGAAAGGCCAAGTCACTAGGCCCCTAGTGAAGTTGGTTCTGCTCCCGCCATACAACGATGGAAACTCGGAGCCAACAACCGCCTCATAAATTACCCCTCATCACTTTTACTATATTCCACTTCCTTTTACCACGACATTCCACTTCTAGGTAGTAGGAGGGATCCCATGTCTAACCTTATTTGAGATAACTTGTTTTTAGTACCAAGGAGTATCTTTTGAGTTTTTTTTTGTATTTGACGTGATGGTTCTTACCCGAGTTACCCCGGGTTGATCTGGCTACACAAAAACGACCATCCTCAGATCTGAAACCATAATTAAAATAACTGCAGAAGTAGCGAACTACTCCGCCTCAGAATAAAAGCAAACAGTAGAAAACTAGCAAGTTTAACACGATATGTTTTTTGTTTCAAATTCTTCAAACTCAAGCTTGCTGGTTTTCTATCCACTTTATTTAGAAGAGATTGCATAAACTGTGTAGGCAGTTTATAGTGTAAGACCCGCCCGAAAGGAACAATTTAAAATAATACAAAAAATATTTAAAAACTCACATATCTTCGGTTCAAAAAGGGTTCGGTTCGGTGCCAATCAGCTTCTTTTTGTTTGCGTTTTGTTGTTCGTAATCGCACGATACGCAGCATGCTATTATGCCAGCAATCCCTAATAAAAGACACAAACCAATTAGGTCTCGAATAAACGGTTAACAACAAAAAAAGAAGGTAAGAACATAAAATTTTGTTACCAGACTAACGACATTTCCAACAAGGATGATGATGGAAGTAGTAGAAAACCAGGATACTACCCCGAAGAGAACCGTCAGCTGGAATGGGGACCCGAAAGCCAGACTGGAACCTATACCATTGAATAAAGACTTAAAAATTTCACTTGGGTTTTGATGATACAGGCATCCAGATTATGTGCAATTGACCAGGTAAATTTTGCATGCGCGGGGTGTATTTCGAACACAATAATTTTTTTAATTATCCCCAGTAGAAAACAAACAGGATCTATAATTGTTTTCCTTCGTATTCGGACATTCTTCAAAATACGCGTCAATATCGTTGTAGTAGTCCATGTCGGATTTCCTATATCAACAGTGGTGTCGATTGCGTTCCGATTACCGGACACTGCTTTTTCAGCCGTCGAATCATTGGACGCGATTAAATTAAGTAAACAAATATTTACACTTTTTTTTTATTAGTAAATCGCAGCAAGATTGCACATTTTTAAATTTAAC